AGGCTGATTTGCAATGCTCCGGCGAACAGTGTTTTTCTTGTTCCCCTGTCTCATTTAGTCTCTGTGAACTTGAATCTAAAAAAGAATTTGCTTAGCAAAGTGGAGTCTTAACAGACCAAACCATGAACAACAGAAATAAAATCTCATCAACAGATTACAGGGCTGAGCCATTGCTCTGTTTCCAGAAATATGTTATTCATTGCACATGGGCACTAAATGTGTCCCAGATGTGAGAGGTTTGGTTGTTGTTCAGGCACTGCACCCCGAGATCACTGCTGTGTCATCAAAAAAGTGTGCTCTCTCATATCCGTTTCCCAACATGGGAGACATTTTTTGAGAACCTATTGTTTGTCTGCACATCTATCTATTTATTTTCCAGTTTAAGTCCACGTAAGCTTCTGATTATTCTTAGCAGACCCTGCCGATTCAACATATTGATTTGATATTGTTTGGGATAATGAAAGCCTATCCCAGTAGTATCAGCTCAAATACTCTCACTCTTGATTTATATGTGGAATCAATAAATGACACAATAGCGAAGCGGCACACTGATCTCATGGTGGGATCGAGAGCATTTTGCGGTTCAGATTGACAAAAAAGGGTCGGTTGCAACAGCTAAATGCAAAGTGGTTGATGATCAATAGAGACCAGGGCTGCATTTTCTTCTATTTCTGAGTGCCTGAGACCATGTAAATCTGTAGGAGGTGTCTGAGTTGTGCAGCGGCTATGTGGTGTGTGTACAATAGATCAGGTCAGCAGGGAATGTATTTAAACAGCGTCCTTATGTTCCGTTTAAATGCTATCACACTGTGGGACAAATCTATAGGAAGATTCCAAAGAATGCATGAATTTTGGCACGTGGCTTGGCTGCAGATGGATGGGCTTGGTGATAGCATGCACTCCCCCTTCCTCATTGCCTTTCTGTCTTGAGCCTGGACTCAAACAGCACCCTGCTTTTCCCACCACCTTTTGTGTCCCTCTCTGGCTGCTCTATCGCACGTCGATGTTGCTTTTATGATCTCTTTTTTATCACCTTCTCGGTCCCTGTCAAGATAACCTCTTGGTTTGCTGCCAGGGTGGACTGACAGATGAAATGGGATTCCTTCTCCCACCGGCATCACGTCTTGTGGCTGGAATGGTCTTGGCAGTTTTGGAGATACGCATATTCTGACACACGCGCATAGAGCCGCCTTTCCTGTCCTCGGTGTTTGCTGCTGGCTGGTATGCTGGCCCACATACCAGACAAAAGCCAGAACAGTCTCCAAACACTCTTGAGCTGCGGCGCTGTGATGTGATTAGACATGGCGGATATCAACTGTGCCTTTTTATGGATTAGCTTTGTTTCTTTTCTTGTTTTCACTCTACCCATAGCTGATGGTTTTACATGAATTATCAGATAACAGTAACTTGTACGGAAATCACTCTCTTGCTTGAGTTCACCAAAGCAGGAGTGTGAGTGTGTGTTTTCTCCCTGATTCATTGTGAGCATATGTTGGTATGTGAGGCTTTGGCTGTGATGTCATATGTGGGTTGACATGAGGACAGTGTCACGATTGTGTCTGGAGCTCCACATGGGGTGTAAGAGGTCTGTTTTTAGCTTTCTCGTGCCTAGGCGGCGCGGCCCGTCTGTGACCTGGAGAACCGGAGGAGCGCCAGGAGCCCGTGGGGCAAATAAATACGCTGTGAAAAGCATGTTAGCAGAGGTGTGAAAGAAATCGGAGGACGAGACACTGCGCTTTGTTTGGAACTGCAGTAGCTACACATGCTCTTTCTTTCACTCACTGTGTCTCATTCTCTTACGCGTCTACTTTCATGCACATACTTTGCACGGCGGTTCACAGTTCAAATAAACAGAAACTGAAGCGTTGAGCCAGGTCTGGGGCAGCTGGCCGGGAATATTTTCACTCAGGGTTTTGCTTTCTTTCTCCTCTTCCTAATGGGTCATGCTTTAGAATGTGAAACATAAGGGAGCAGCTGTAAGTGGTGGTGAAGTAGATGATGAATAAACTTCTGATGGATGGAGACTTAAATGTAAGAAAGAAATTTGCAAAAAGCTGGTATCTAGAACAATCCTGCAGTAATTGTTGAAAAGCAACAGAACCAATGGTTCACAAGGTCTGTCTTTGCTCTGAAATCTATAAGTTTGACCTTAGTTTGATAGAAGTCTTTAAAAGGATTTGTCTGTGTGTGTGTTTATGTGTGTGTGAATAGCTCTCCTGCAGCCTTGCCTGTCCTAGTGTCAGTGTTTTGCTGCCTACAGTCTTGGCGCTCAGCAGCAATCGGTCAGTAAAGCTTTAAATTCGGCCGCTTCATCTGCCCATAATGAAACACGCTACGAGCCTGTCTCGTCTGTAAATGGCAATTTCCTCCTAAATCGATACTGTCTGCTGGCCGTCAGTAAGCTGTAAGGGAGGGGGCATGCAATGGCCGCGGATGTGTGTGAAATCTGCTCTTCATTTGCCCTCATTTGCTGATCTAAACAGTGCAATAAGATAAACGGGCTAATAATTAGTCTTCAGTGGATATTTGTACATGTGTTGTGTGAGTGTACTAGCTAATTTCCCCTTATTTTCTTCAATTTGGGGTTTACATGGAAATCTTTTTAAGGTGGGAATTGTCAGTTTAAACACACCTAAAGCAATCAGTAAAGTACAGAGCTGGAATTTGAAAAAATTTCCAGCACTGTCAGTGTCCTATAAGGACATTTCCTTAATAAGCTGCTTGGTGTGTGTGCTAAGGCCGCAATTGAAAGCACATAAATCCTGCCAAAGTGGGGAAGAAATGTGTAATTACAATGCTTAGTAAGTTAAAGATTGCAGATGATTAGATCCATATTACCTAATGTTTTTCATGCCTTTCATTGCTTGCAGTGATGCTTTAAATAGGCTCTGAATGTTGTTGCGAAGACAAGTCTTTGTTTGTGGTCGTAGTAGGCAACCTTAAGTTGTTAATTAATGCTCCTCATGGAAAGACTAAAGAGCTTTGAATGAGACCAGTGCTGCCCTTCCCACCACAAATAGGTTGCAGCTTGTAGTTAGCCTGTAGATAGAGCATCAGTGCGGCACATCAAACCTCCAGGTTGTACTCCCACTTGGCTATCGTGACGTGTTGTAGCATTTTTGTCATCATTAATTTGACTCAAAACCACTCATGTAAACACAGACTGGCTTCCTGATGAGAAACTCAGACATGCATTTAGTTAGTGATTAGGAGTGTTGAAAGAATCTCCTTTCATACATCCAGTTGAATTGTGTGGATAGCAAATTGCCAACCAAACTGATGGTGCACTTCTACATCAGCAAGGTCTGCTTTGTATACATTTTTCAAGTGCATTTTAATGGATCAAAAGCTCTCAAGCTGAGCTTTATTTGATGAACTGATCCTGTCTTTTGTCGCTCTGCTCACAAGCCCTCCAAAGCTAAATGATTAAGATTATCATGATGAAGTGTTGAGATTTTCTTAAGTAAATGTTGGATCTTAAAATTACAAGAGAACCATGACTTGGGATTAGGGAGCCAAACAAATGGCAAATACATTAAACAATTTCACATTCTCCTTATTTCTTACCTTTGTACCTGAATCCGCTCCTCGTACCAGAGGGGTATGAAAGGAGGATTTCTGTTTTTTGTTCTTTTTTACATCATATATTGTTGAAATAAGTCTGTCACAAAAAGTCACCACAAACCTCGTTATGATTTAGCTGTTGTCATTCTAAATGGATAAGCTAAGATGATATACCAAGTTTTAAAGCTGTTGTGGACAGTAGTCCAGCTAATGAGTTGACATTTATTCATTATTTATAATTCAACATCTGGTCAGGTGGAGTGTGAATGTAGACAATGCCAAGAAGATTCGATTCGATCAGAAAAAATGTCAGGAGAGCTTTTATGGATGGGATGAAATTGTGAATGAAACTAGAAAGCTAAAACAAGAGGTTCAATAAATGAATGCTGACTCCCAGACATTTCATGTTGGTATTCATAAGGTACAGGCCGGGACCATTAGTGGAGGCTGAATGACGGGCCTGAATCAGAGGGGTGGCTGCAGGGGGTTGAATGTGGGAGGTTAGGAGGTGGGTGGTTCATTCATGAGGCCACAAATTTATTCAGTACCAGAACTGTGGCTTTATGCTTTGCTTTGAGAGAAATGAGAGACTTTTGTGAAATACTTTACAGCATCTTTTAAAACAGGCCGTTATTAATCACAGATGTGAAAGCTGTGCAAATAGAAAGCTGCATCTTTCCTCCCAAACTGTCTCCAGATTCTCAAAGCACGGGAACCGGAAAAACAATTAGGTCAAGATTTTTCATTGTTTATCTTGACTGCTACAACTATTCCGTCTCTTCTTTACGTCCCCCCCCCCCCCCCCCCCCCCCCCCCCCCCCTCCCTTTTTCAAACCAAAGCATATACCAATCAGACTTTAAATCAAACTCCACATGTTCATAAGAAAAGCTCATTGACAAACCACTGTTATTGGGCACTGCGAGCTGGAAACTGAGCTGCATCACTGAAGACTCCGTCTACAGAGGAGATGGATGGTCTGATGGATAGATGGAAGTGGACGGGTCGGGGTGTATTTTTCCTCTGTGCTGAACAGCTCTTGGTTAAGTGGGCCAGGAGGGGCGAAAAATAGCTTTCAGTCCCCATGAGGAGTCATTCTGCAAGGTCACCTCATTGCCCTGGGCCTTAATGCGTGAAACTAAGTGTCCGTGCTCTTCCTGTCTGCACCCCTCCCTCCTCCCTGTCTTTTCCTTTCTGTCTGTCTCCCCTTTTATTTTCCCTCTTTGGCTTAATGACTTAGACAGGCCCCTGCATCAGCAAGGCCTCTGCAGCAAGACTGTGCGTGGTGTGCTAACGAACTCCCAAGCTAATTTGAATCGCAGCCAAACTGGAAGCTCTCCTCATTTCCTTGCCATTTCCCCCTTTTTTGGATGAATACAATTCCGTCCCCTCAGCCCATGCAGAATTAATCCAGTTAATGTTTGGCACAAAATGAATAATGGCCACTTATCTGCGGGGAACACGGGTGCAGAGGAGCTCTGGGGTGGAGTACCCACAGTAAGCCCCTGGTCTCATGTCTCACTTAATCTGCTTTCTGGGCAGAGTTGTGGGGCCAACGTACTGTTAGGTCATTTTAAAACTGAGGTTGGTGTGCCTGTGGGCAGACTAGTGAACTTTAATATACAATGGAAGTGCTTTTCTCTTCTTTTGCAACTATGTGCAAGTGTTGACATGAGTCTTTAAACCTTTTTATGTAGTGTAAGGGTTACCCAGCAGCATGCAAGCAAACAGTGCATGAACCTGAATTTGCTATTATCATCTGCTGTGCCTGACGTCACACTCCACATCATCTTCAAAAGCGCCCTTCATTAGTGTCAGTTATGTTTAATGTCTGTCACTAAACATGTTTTCAGCTGTCTGAGAAAAATATGAATAAATGTTTCTATTATTATGTTTTGTTTTGTTTGTTTTTTTGTGTTTTTCTAAATCCAAGTGGATGTTTCGAATTATACAGTTTCCAGCGTTGTTTCCAATGCACAACTGTTTTTAAAAATTGATTGGAAGCATGACTGGTTCTGTAATGACCTGGTTTCTCCATTCTATGCAAGAGCCAATGAGGTTTTGATTACCGCTGGTTGGCCAGTTAGATCACACAGAATCTAGCTGGCTAATTTTCATGGAAGTCACTGGAGAGCCCGTCTAAAATAAGAGTTCAGTTTACTTTGGACAGTTACAAATTCAAGCTGCATGCAGAAGCACACAGGTCCACATTTTGCTCTTGAACCAGGCATGGATAAAAGCTCGGAACTCGGAAATGAGTTGCTCACATACTCCCCACATGTCTGTGCTATCAGCTGTTGGGGTGAGTCCCAGCTGCTTTGTGTGTTGACTCTAGAGTGATAGCCGTCGGCATTTGTCACATAAAACGAAAGGAGACTTGAGGAAAAGAAAAAGCTCGATGGCGAGGCTATATTGGGACTTCAGTTAGATGTTGAATCAAGATAAAAGCATTTATTTATCAGGGATGTTTTCCTGACCGTATCATCACGTATAAATCAGTTCCTTTCCTGGTGAGACATGATAATGTTCTGGTAGGATAAGATCTTTGATGCTTGTAAGACTTTACTTGCATACTTCAGATAGGCTATCAGCCCCAGGGGAACACGTATTTACAAAATCACTCATCCTGTGCTTTGATAAAGACAGAAGCTAATGTTTATATCTAGCTTAAAAGGGGAGTAAACCTGTTTGACTAACTGTCTAAAATTACCGAGCAGAGGCAGTCTGTGCATGCCAGGCTTCCATGTAACCAGTGCTATCTGGGGTATGTCCCCTGAGCAGGCCTCCCTGCTTTTTTTTCTCTCATCTGGTGGCATTTGAAACGGCTCACTGCTGGTTTGGGAGCAGTTCACTGAAAATGACTTATTGAGAGAAGTGGCTCGGACCGGAGGAGCCAGCTCATTCTGCGGTCGCTCCGAGGGCAGGACGCTGTCACTTAAGGCTCCCCGTAAAATCTCGCTTATAGGCCTAAAGTACAGCGTGAGCTGTAACTGATACTGTTATGTTTGCAAAGAGATGGCAGTTATACTCTTATATACGTCACCCCACCACGTGAATGAGAAAACTTGGGGAATGAAAGACAGCTTTCACTAAAAAAGCAGGGCTTCAGTCCTCATGCGCGGCAGCCGAACGAAAAGTGGCCGGAGGATAAAAAGAGGCAACACAACCTGTGTCAGCAGGATTGGTAAAAAGGATTTGGAGAAAATCTCCATGTGTCACGTTTGTCCACTAATTGTTTGTATTTTTATTATTAAATGAGGCTATTATCATCATTTGAACTTTATTTAACCAGTAAAAGTAGAACTCTTGAGAGTCAAAGCATCTTATAGCATGCAAAAAAAATAATGTTTTCCCTGTGAGGGTAAGCTATGGAGATTATGACAAATCTATATATCATATGAGTATCAGGCGAGGTTATCATTTGTTATCACATATCAGGTTGTGGCAATTACAGAGATGCATACCATTTACTGCTTTGTTTTCCATCCTTCAAATTCTTAGGAACGTCCTTAAATGTATTTAATGAAACCAGGTTCCTCCAATTAAGCTTCATCTCCAGCTGATTCCTTGCAGAGGGAGCAACATATTTAAACAACCCTTCCCTCTATTCGGTACAGATGTTAGAGATGGTTGAAAAGAATTTCTAAACATAGAAGCAAAGACGGTAACTTCCCATTCGTAATGTGGGTCAGGAGATATGGTGGAAGCAGACTGAAGACTGCTTTGTGAACATAAACATATGAGTGTTTGAGTCTGGGATAACTAAAAAGACTGTCCGACTTCAGCATATGATACACAATGATGAGTGTTCTGATGAAACTCTGGGAGGAGAGTGGAGAGGCCAGAAAAGGGCCACCGTGGTCGACTCATTTAAAGCAAAGATGTATACATTGTAAATTACAACTTCCCAATCCAACATGGACATATAAGTGCCAGGCACAAGTTTTTTTTCTGAAGAACAAAGCATTATGAAGAAAATCCAGTTGCAACCTTGGTTTCTTTCACCAGTTGCTGTATATAGGGACACATAAAACAGCAAATAATGTGGTTGTTTGAATTATGAGTGTGTATAGGTCCAAATTGAGTATGCTATATTTTCTGTTGTGGTCTTTTGGCAAGGAACTGGAACACAAGGGAAGAATAAGCTGGTAGCACCAGAGACCTACCACATGAGGTCTTGTTAAAGGTGACATATTCTGCTATGTACAGTGTTTAAAATGTACAACTCATTACTTTACATGGTGAAAGTTTCAACCCAATACATAGTTCTTCAGCTGATGTCAAACAACTTGGAAGCAGAATCAATAAATCCATTCCACTCCTGTGATTACATACTGGTTCAAGAAGGATAGTGCCCAGCTCAACTTCTTTGTGCATGTGAACAAGCTGAGTTCAGCATTTCTCCTAAGCAGGTGTAACACCTTTCAGATTTGTCTTGTAATTGGTTTTTGAATTTGGTATGTGTGTTTCCTCGTTTTGGATCTCTACCAGATATCATATTTGCCCAAAATACCAAATATCCAAACGGCTGTGCCCTGCAAATAGACTTTGCAGATAGACTTTTGAATAACCAATCCTGCTAAGATTGCTTCATTTATCTTTTTTTTTTTGGTTCATTTCATTGTCAGTGGTCTGTAAGACTTTTGTCTCCTCTCCAGTTGCTGCCTGTTTCTTATGTAAAACAGCGCTGTTGTGTTTACAGGGGCTACTCTCTCCATGTGCCCGTGTAGGTCGGCTTCCTGCTGCTCCTCTCTGCCCTCCCCGTCTATCCTCCTGCTCAAAGTCACTGTTTCAGGGAAGTGTCTTAATTCACATGCAAATTCGGCCAGAACACCAGTAATGCAGGTTGCTAATTACACTTATGTTGGGATGCTGACTTGCTTGACATCACACCAGGATATTGGCATCCAGGGAGGAGAGCAGAGGGGAGAGGCTCCATGAAGGGCCCACAATTACACAGGAAGTGGGCTATCTTCCCTTCAAACAAAAATGTACTTGTAGTTAGTTTATTTCTTTTACCAGTTTCAGCTATTTCAATATAACAAATAATCACTAAATCCAACCCCAGGAATTCTTGTGTTATACCACATATTATTTGTGGGGGTTGCTACATTTTTAAAACTATTTAAAACCTGTCTGCATCCTGATGTGGAGATAACTTTTCCGTAAACAGAAGTGTGCTTGATTGAATTGCTCATTCACAACCCAGTTATACAAACCTAACTAATTAACTTCAGTAAGATTTGGAAGTCTGTGTAGATCCTGTGTTTACAGGGTGTAAAGATGAGCTTTTTTCCCAGAAATTCCACACGGGTTCGGATTCATTAATCTGATGAGGAATGTTGAAGTTGTTTTGTGGTGCTGAATATTTTTGGATTGAATGACAAATTTATGTCAAATCTTAATAAATTCTGCATGTCTCCATTTTCACAAGTTGCATAAGGTAAATGGATGATGGTTTGACTCGTTCGGAAACGTTTGCTGGTAGTGGCTTTAATTTGGAGAACCCACCGGAAACCATTGAGTGATTACTGAGACATTGACGTGGTTTAACAATGTGGGACTGACTCGCAGCTGCTGTTCAGTGGGTTCACCAGCAGAAAGAGGAGCACTCCGTGCGCGTCGTGCTTTTACGCACAGAGGCTCCGCGCGGGTCGTCCCTTTTCCAGCAGCGCCAGTATCAGGAGTTCTCCGGACCGAAGAGATTATTTGGGTGGAATCCCCCATTCCTTATACCTCTTCTTCAACGCAAAGATGACTTTTTGTGCTCTTGTTTACGCACTTTGAGTTGGCTGTAGGCTCACAGAACTGCTGGGTGTATTTGCGAAAAAGCAGGGGGGGGTGGCAAAAGGACAGGATAGATTTAGCAGAGAGGTGTGGAGCGCGCAGCGGGCGAGACTGTTGTGTTTCCGTGGCGCTGGAGTTGTGTGACAAATTCTGCAATGAGGAGCAAGTATTTTACAGCCCGCAGCAAGTCGACCACCCGAATGTGGACTATGGCTTCGTCAAGCCTCAGTTTGTAAAAAAGGTGAGCAGCAGTTTCTCTTTTTCCTACTTGTGTAGCTTTGGTTGGCTTTTTTTTAAACCACGACCCGTTTTCGGTCCTCAAATGCGTAATGGCACACAGACCACCGTCTCCGCTTTTGAGTTCAACCTCTGCAGCCTTCTCTTACATGTGTGCGTTAAGTAGTTGCAGGGCCATAGATAGATCAGTAGATAAATAGTCGTTTCGCAGAGGTTCACCCCCTTTTTGATATTTCTGTGGTTCTTAAGGCTTTCTCCCTGTGGAGGTGCTCTCACTGCTCTATATCCCCCACCCCACCCCCTGTGGCGCAGAGCTTAGACTCGTGTGCAGTGGACCGTGTGTCTGTTGCCTAATAGATTGCTCTCCAAAGTAAATGACCTGATAGATTTTCATTTCCCCCCTGCTCTTTTTGTCTGTCAAGTCCTCTGTTATCGGTCAGCCCGTCATCTGCGCCCTGGTGCCGAAAGTCTCCTGCAAGTTTGGAGTAAACTGTATTGGAAATAAGTTCTAGTGGCAGGTCCCCGGCAGAACACAAACACAACACCCCATTCAGGCTCATGGATCCGTTGAGATGGTTGACTTATTACATGCATCTTAACAGTGAGAGGGGCCGTTCTGTTAGCAGATGCACAGGCTGGCAGGTAAGTGATGGATGATGTGGCTTTAATAGTGGGAGCTGGCTGCGGTGAGACTGGTCTGAGAGCAGCTCCAACACTAACCAAGCTGTCAAGAGCTGAAATGCCTCTAACATATCATTCCATGTGTCTGTGGAGAGATGTGTGATGCTACTGGTTGACGAGAAGTTGCATACTTTGAAGGATCAGTCAAGAGTATGTGGCTCAGATTGTCCCTGTCTGGTCAGATGTTTCTACCAAAAGAAGTATGGGAAGCTAAAAGGCCCAAACCAATTAATGCGTTGGTACACAAATTCACTAATGTCACCAAACAGCTGTATGGTGGTTGTTTTGTGAGCCTGTCCCTTCTGTGACCTTACCAGCCATTACAAAGTTGTGTCATTTAAGGAACTACAACAAATAAGTAATGTTATCTACTTTCACTGGTAGGATCAGTGAAGCATCTCTGTCGGGTCTGTTTTTGTCTTTATTGTGGTTTGCATGTATCCCTTCGTACCACCGTGCAGATGCAGTATCCACATCAGGTTATTTCAAATGTCAGCCATGGTTTCTTTTTTTTTGACAGCACTTAAGACAGGTTGAATTGAACATTTGAAAGTCTAACCAGATTTTTGAGAAAACCAAAGAAAAAGTTCTGGCTAAATGGTTTATTCAGAAGCAAATCGAGATAAACGTAAATTGGTCAGCAACGTCTCCCATGAATCTTGGAAGCGAAACCGGTAGAATTTGGATCAACTATTCTTGCTTCTGCTCTTTGAGTGTCAAGCTCCCTTAAAACTGTCCCATAATGAATGTTTACCATTCACAAACATGTCTTATTATGTTTGCCTACAGTGTGACAAATGGATTTCATGGCTGTCTTTACTGGGAGTTTGGGACAAACTAACGGTGAAACATTGGCTCTATGTTCCTGTTCATCAGCGTGGGGTCCACAGGCTACTTAAAAAGCTGGCGGGACTTTGGCTGTCTATAATCTCTAATTGGTTTTGACAGGTGGATGCAGGCCTAATCTCTGCCCTCAGCAACACATTGCATCAGGTTCTTGCTAATTGGCTTCTAATGGAAAATATCTTTGTGGAGCATGCCTGGCTCTCGTCAGGAACACCTCAGTCTTTTTTAGATCGAACTCCTAATGGCTCTGAAGTCAACATTTATCTGTCTTTTGCACCTCATTACCCAAAGACACAAAGGTTTTGTCGGCTTGTGTGTCTCTAATTTGCTAAAAGAAGGGCCATTTGTTGACTGAAACTCAACGGCAATCGACTCATTGGAAATCTACAGTTGATAAACAAAGGCTGTTAAAGAGGAAGGACCCCGTCCTTTCCTCTCACTTCCAAACAAAACAAATGTGGAGGAAGGAAGAAAAAAAAACAGAAAAAGACAGGACTTGGCTGCCTCCTGCATCCAGCTGTTCCCCTTTTCTGTACTCTCTTCTCATCGCCCAACCTCTGCTTTGGTTCCGAGCTGCCATTTAAAGATGGGACTTTAATCTGACCATGTAGAGTGATGCCATGGAAAAGCTGCGGTGGTGTGGGAGCTGCTCTGGAATGAGAGCAAGCTGAGAGTACTGCCTTAAGCTTCCCAACGCTGTGCTCCTACCACTGACTTTCTGGACACACTTGCATCAGAGTTTGGCGATCACAGAGTCCTTTTGTCATTTGTGGGAATCTGAGTAACGAACTGTTTTAAACGCTGTCAAAAAGTGCTCGATGCATTCAAACTTGAGCCGTCTTTTATCTTGTTTTTAGGCCCACTGTTGCAAATAATACTTCATTCTGGCCTGACTAGAGACCCTGCTTGCTGAGGCTCTTCTAATGTTAAACCTGCAGTAACTGAAGCGGTTCTATTCATCGGTCAGCAGGCCTGTAAAACCCCCGGTAAGGTATTAAACCCACCCAGAACGACAGACAGGATGATGATAATTAACCCGAAACAGTGAATCATTGTCCACTGACATCATGCTTACAGTGACTGCCATGCAAATATACCTGCCCCCACCCCCTATACCTGCCCCCCCAAAAAACAAACCTCACACTCCAGCCGACCAATCATTTGTCAACGTTTACAACTCCTCTGGGATGAAAACACCAGTTGCTTTTAAAGTGGAAACAAGCCTTCTCACTTCCTTCTCTTTAGTTCAGAGTCATTTAATAGGAGTCGGAGATGTACTTGACTTGTTTTACCAGAGCCAGTCAGCGTGATTTGATTGAGATCATGCATCTTGCATGGGGAAGCTCGGGGATTAAGTTTCAGCAAGGGAAATCCCAGGCATGTCCAAGGAGCACGTTGTAAATCATGAGGTGGGAAGGGAGAGAAGGAGCAACAGGCCCTGTTGGTATGCAGCATCTTTTAAAGCATTGGGTGTGTGTGTGTGTGTGTTGGGGGGGGGGGGGCGAGATGTTTGTAAGGTGAATCACAGGAGGAAGCTTATCATCACACATCTGAGTGGGTCAAAGAGGCTTTTTTCCCCCCAAGAGACCTTAAAAGGGCGAATTGTAAGTGAGAGGAAGGCTTTTTATGTCAGGTGACATCCTTTCCTTCACGCAATCCACTGTTTGAGAGATCTTCTGTACCCCCAAAAATCAGGCTACATTTTTATCTAGCTCGCAGCAGATCAGCAAAAGGAAGGAATTTAACCTCTTATACTTTCAGCCACCGTCCTCACAGCAAAGTGTGAGTTCTAATGGGTTCACATTCTTTCTGTTTTTTCATCGGGTTTGGTATTCAGATTGAATTACAGATGAAGGTGAATGCTCCGGGCTGGAGGGAGGCAAACTGAGTTGCCCCGGGGCTGTGGCACCACTCGGGGGGAAACAGAATTTGCTACCCCATTGTCTCCCATATTCCCGCTTGACAGTTCTCTCATGACTTGATCTGTATTGCTACTCTGTCATCAATATTCATGGCAGTGAAATCTTGCTACTCGGTGTGTTTTGTTAATATTCATGGAGCTGGTAAGGTCTGCTGCATGCCCTTCCACAATGACAGGGAAGTTGCAGAGGTCTGCTTTTCCGCACTGGGCCTAGCTGAGAGCTGGAGCAGTTTGTCAGGTAGATGGTGAGGAATATTAAGTCACAATAATGGTAAGGAAGACTTCCTTCAACTTGGCCCATGTTTTAACATTTTACTCTCAATCATTACATGCATCAACACTAGTTGAATCCATCAGTGTTTCATCAGGTGAACTGATTTTTCTGGCCAGGCTCAAACTTTGGATAACAGGTGCAGCTTTACAATAAGACTGAGATACAATAATGAGATTATCTAGGTCTGTTTACAACACTGTCAGTACTCTGAGCGCTGTTTTCCCCCCACAGGCATATAGTGTTATTAATATAACAATCAAAGAAAATCTGAAGTCTTCTAGAAAAGCTTTAAAAAAGACACAAAATGGTGTGTATTCATAGTGGTTTAAAGCAGATAAACTAGGTTTCCCAGCATTCCCAGAGACTGGCCGCACATGATACATTTATGGTGGTTGTAACTCCGTATCAGTAATAGTTGCCCTAACTGGAAACTAACCTTGCGACTGCAAGAACATCAGCTGGACAGGAATGGACAGAGCTTTTGTTCAGGAATGACTTTCATCTCAAGTTATATCTGGGATATAAGTTTATGTCCAGACATAAGAGTCCAGACAGCTGCATGTTTTTCAAAGGACTTAGACTGAAAGTAAGCAGTTAGTCGGTGTCATGGAGATATTTCATTTAACCTTAATGTACATCAGGTCTTCTTTGAAACATGCAAAAATCACCTCATGCAAACAGTTTTCAGTCTATAAATTGAAAATGGTCTTTGTCATCTAAATGTGAATTTATTGAAATGTATCAAAAGATATTCTTTTATGCACTTTATTTAAACCCAGATAGTAGATGCCCGTATTCATTCATATATATATATATATATAGATATACATATATATTCTTGTGGAAATATCCAGAATCTATGTATCTCTCTTTCTATCCATAAATGTGAGCACACTACAACAGGTCCTCACTTACTGGAGACATGAGTCTGTCAGACAGTGTCCTTGGTGTCCTTAAGCTTCTCCGTAGGACTGACTGTCACACAGGCTGGCATCCATCTGGGATAGTAATGAGATTGTCTCCTGTGTTTATCTGCCTGAAGGCATTACAGGTTAGTGGGTTGTGACCTTTTGGTCACCCTATTTCCCCTTAAAGGCATTTGCATGTCAAGTATGAAGGAATCTCACTGTGTGCAGTGTCACTGTTTTTTTATTAGAATACCGACCAGGCAAAAATCTTTTTCTTTTTTTAAAGGAATAATCAAACATTCATACTTTTCCAGCTTCTAGGTGGGTTGCCTTGTGTGAGAAGGAAGCAACTTACAGGCAATGCATCTTCTGTTTCTGCCAGTATTGTCCATGGTGTTTGCTCAGAGCTGTTTTCCGTCACCGCCTGAATTCTTTTATAGCCGGTTTGGCATTCTGTAGTCAGACTTTTTAACTCCGGTCGACTGGTGAGTGGTGACCGCTGAGTTTTGTGGGACCCATATTTAATAGGGAGAGCCGCAGTGGGACCTCTGGGTTAAGGTTGTTCGCAGTTATTTTCAGGCTGAACGGAGAAACCCAAACTCTAATCTTGTCTTTTGCTGTGTTTCCCTACGACAGGAAGATCTGTGTGCACTGTAAGTGTCGACGCGAGGAGCATGCAGTGACAGCCATGCCTGTAGAGATGGAGAAGACTGTCACCAAGCTGATGTATGATTTCCAGAGGAACTCCACCTCAGATGACGATTCAGGCTGCGCTCTGGAGGAGTACGCCTGGGTGCCTCCAGGACTTAAACCTGAACAGGTGAGGGTTCCTTTTTACCATGCTTTTACCACCTTACGTTAGCATCAGGCAGCATTCAAATGAATATTAAAAATCTGCACAAGGCGGCTTTCTCGACAGGCTTTTAGTAAGACATGGTCTTCTTGCTTTTTTGCACAAAAAACTTTCACTCATTTACTGACGGATGCAGTTCAGACATCAAGTGTTTGATTTAAGTGTTTGCAAGAAGACGCTTAGAGCCAAGTGTGTATCCCTGATTGTAGTTCTGTAATCACATCCTACTTTACAGCCAAGCTCTGGTATCAGTTTATTGATCAAACTAAATGTATGAAATGCCTTTTAAGATAGTGGTGCCAGTGTGGTTGGAAGGTCAGACAGAGATGTGCTCAGGCAGGTTTAATTTCCCCTTCTCTCTATATTATGGTTGTATGTTTTTCCACAATCCCTGTAAGAATGTTGGAGCTACTTACTCATGCTTCATGATAGCTTACCTGTTGGGCTGACTACTCGCTAACGGATAACAAGGATTATGTGGCTCAAGCAGTCAGATTAATCTCCAATGCATTCTGCTTGTAAGCATGTTTACAGTGGATTTAATGGCCATAAATCCCAAGTCAAGCGCTCGTAACAAATTGAATGACCCCATGCATGTTAAGTAATATTCTCCAAGAATGAATCCTCTGAGCCGTAACTGTTTGTGTGGGAGGGTGTCCAGTTTAATTGGACAATAAAAGCATTTATGGAAGCTGTTTTCATTTTGTTCCCGTGCTGAGAGCAATAAGCTGGTCAACACACTTGGCACAGCCTGCCGTTTTCACCTCGGCGGACTGAGTGCAGCCATTTTTCATCGCTCTCCAGGGTCACGCTCACAACCCTGAGCTCAATTACATTCTCGTCTGGTGACGATGGGATCCCAGGAATAATAAGGTGATAATGGGGAAACGGGCTGGGTGGAACGGCAAAAGGACGTTGATGAACAGCCATGAAAATAAATGAGTTTTATTTATTTCTCTCTTAATTCTTATAATTCCTATGAACAGAAACCACTGTTTGTAATGGAAACGATGCTCAGAGTAAATTCTAAACTCTAAATCGGCCTTTTCTTTCACTAACAATCAGCACATGACAAGTAACAAGATGAAAGACAGAATAGTGTGGGAAGGTAATGTTTGTGTCACAAATGCTGAAGCTGTCCCTTACAGGGGAGCAGAAGAAACAAAAACTTCAAGCTTGGTGGGTTTAGATTTCCCTACTGGGAGCTAGAGCTCTGTATTAGCCAGCTATTCATCCATAAGGGGTGTCGAGTTACTACACTGTAATGAGAGATTTCTACTCTGCTCTATAGTGTTCAGTTATAGATATTTTAGGGATTATTGGGGATAACTTCCCATATGTAATACTTTCCCTGCCAACAATTCAATCACCACTGATATCTGTCTCAGATTGAAGCAGTTTACGATCATTTAACCAAAATGCAGACTGGATAAAAGGTTTTTCTATCGGCAAATGAAACCATTGATTGCTTTGAGGAAAATCTTCACTCCTCCGGCTCATCTTCATCCTTTAAAATTTAAATGCCTGGATGTTGCCAAGTTACAGTTGATCCAGGCCAAGAATGTTGCTCGGCAGTACCCAGTAAATGGCTTTTTTCCATTTTGCCATCTTTTAGCAGGAGCTTCAGACTTTCATTTTAACTCCAACTGGATGTAGAGATTCTGAAACTATTTGCTTGTCGGGTACTTGAACAGAAATTAAGTTTAGGGCGCTGTTATAAACCAGTTGTCTTTGTGGGATCTAAAATAGATGAGTTGACTTTTAAAACAACACAGGAACGGCAGGCAGTTTGACCTGTTCTTAAATAGATCTGAGCACACTTGGGACAATTCTAGTCTAAGATGTAGAACAATAAATCTGCCAACTGTTGACCTTATTACAGCTGCCTGATTGTGATTGACACTATGTAAAAAAACTCAAAGGCTCTTGAGGATGAGGTTGACCGGCTTGTGTGATTTCCTTTTTTTGGGTCAACATACCTGGTGATTTTTATTAACCACAGTAAGTAAGTGCTGTTGTAAATAATTGTGTGCGTTTCATCCCTTGCAAGTCTGAGTTAAAAATCTTTGTCTAATACTTTGATTTATGACTTAAAAACCTTAGTAGTTTGTGACCTCCCCCTCACCCTGGAAACCTATTGTGGGATGACTTATGGCCAATTTATGGTCGCGTGTTTGTAACCCTCTTCCTCTTAAAGCAAGAGTGAAGGATCATAGGAATTCAAACAACATGTGAGCTGGTGTTCTTTAGTGCAGCATGTGACCCTGGTCAGTATATATGTGTAAGACTAATGCTGAGATCCAAGTGGAAGAAGCGTAAAAAAAAAAAAAAACTCATCTGAAAAAATACATTTTCAAAAAGTGTATAGAAGTATTACATGCAACTGCTTTGCTGAGTGATTTATGATTATTTATTGTAGTGTAAACCCTTGTAAACCATCCACATACAACATGGGTTAGATGGTCAAAACCTATACGTGGCACAGATGCAGAATTTAGTATTGTGTCAAGCTTCTGCCTTTTGCATGTGGGTATTAGTCAAAACATAAATCATACCAAATGACCATTGGGGTGGCCTAGTTGTAAAGAACCAAGCAGCCTATGCATGCACTAGTTTTTCTTCATGACTCTGAGACAGGATATTCCTCATTTTGTTGATGTTACAACAGCCTGCTTCTGATGCATCACTGACAATAGTGGGAAATATTCCATGAATCTTCTCCCTAATAGCTTAGAGGTAAAGGAATACATGGCTCCACAGAGCTTGGACTCTTTTATTCTACTCCATCTACAGTTAGCGATTCTAGTTTCATGAAGGACTTTCTTCTTATTATTATTGAATATCTTTTTAGACTGAGACTCTTTTGAAATAAGAATCACTCCATTTTCTTTCCAACTTTCTTGCTGCCTGCTTTAAAGCCCTTAACTGTCAATAATACCAAGGAGCCAGCCCTCTTCTGACCGATAAACATCTTTTTAAGAAGGGAAACATTGCTCAATGTTGCACACATTTCATCACTTCTTCTTCACTCAGTAAAGAAAATGATGATGGAATAAATAGATTTTGTTCCACCATTCTCTGATACTCACGTAATATAAACACCTCTCAGATCTAGTGTAGTCTAGTAATATAAACTCAAATGTTATCACAAATGGTACAAAAAAAAACCTGGGCTTGAGGTTGTAACTGCTGAAGTCTTGGGTCTTGTGGGGTAACCAACAGACTGGCCTCAAACCTCCTGTTTGGCATTAAAAAGTTAATGAAAGGTCAGTTGTGGTTAGCCAATAGCCGCTTGCTTCATCACTCACATGTCAGGCTATTTTAGCCTTTTCCCTCCACAAAGTATTTGCATGCATGCACTTGAGGCCCGCCCGGACCCCACTGGTCAGTCCAGCTGAGACTTGTACGACACTGGGCTGTGAAAACACCATCATTCCCACCATGGCTTAAGTGGACCTACCACAGTTTCTCAACAATATAATGTCCTTGTCTATTAAGTGTAGCAAACTGTCTTGTCGAAAGAATGCCAGAGCTGGTGCCTAGTGGTGTTTGGCCATTAACAAAAATGGAAACCAGCTGTCCTACTGTTAGCTTTTTCAAACATTCCCTTTTGGTACGGTTCGAAATTTTGCCCCTGTGTTTAGTTTGGTCTGCTTTCGATTACAGTTATTATCACATGCTTCTTTACCTTCTCTTTTTTCTGGAAGCCTGTGTCTGCATGTATGTATGTATGTGTGTGTGTGTTTGTGCATGTGTGTATCGAACCTAGGATCTTTTCCTTGGGGCAGTGAGCCTTTCACCTCCAGACTTGAACCTGTTGTCGGAGGCATGTTTTGCACTCTGTCATTGTGAGTCTATGTGCATGGACTAGAAGGCATGCGTGTGTGTTTGTGTGTGTGTGTATGCAGTGCATGATTTAGCAATGCTTGATTTTAGTTGGTCTTTGACGAACAAACCAGAGCTCGGCCCAGGCATCCATTCTACGCTGGGCTGCCGTTCACAAAGTTCCTTGCCAAGACCAGTGGAGGCCAGCCAAAGCAGAACGGAGGGAATGAAGTTACGATGAGAACAGCTAGCACACAAATATGAGGCAACTTAACAGAAGCAAAGGCTGGATTTCATGTTGAATGACACTAATTCAAGACTTCAGCATTTAAAAAACAGCCCATTTACATTTACCAACCAACTACATTTTTGTAGTTTGGAGTATTTAGGTTAATCTCTTTTTTGTCTGACAGACTTGGTGTTATTGCCAAGGACAAAGCTAATGACTTCTCATCGGTAAATTCACCCAGCAGTCCGGCAGGTCATCAAAACAGAAATGACCCGGTCAGCAAATATTGATTACGGATACATAAAGGACATCATTGTGTTTTCTGCCCTTCTGTGTCTTTTAATGAATCAAGAGTTTTCTTTCTCTTCTATTTTCTTCTTTATTTCCTTTCCCTGTTCCGGTATTGGTCCATTTTTGTTGATCACCTCTCTGCTGCTTGTTTTTTTTTTTTTTTACCCATGTCTTTAGAGTCTACCTCCAAACCCCTGAAGGCTCTGTTGGTTGGCTCCTCCCCCTTCAGTAGCATCAATCTTTAACTGCCTGACCTTTGTTATACCCCGGCCCCTTTTAGAGTGTAATGATAAAAAATTATAACAATAAAAAGACTGCAATAACTTGAAGATGGCACAGATTGCCTTTATTGTGATAAAGACCACATTATTTGCTATGTCCCAATTAGTGTTAATGTGCTATAGCACGCGTTTGTTTGGATGCACACAGCCTGATTCATGTAGGTTCATCACTGCTTTGGTTTTGTGTGTGTGAGTGAGTGAGGTGAGTATGTGCACACTTGAGGGATCAGTGATACATTCCCATGTCTATGTGTAAAGATGGAGAAGTGAGGTTCCATTAAGTCTCTGCTGGCCGGTCATAAATCAAGTTGATTTTAAGTGTGTGTGCTGGTTACTACTCACATGTTCATTTGGACACACTAGTTGGCCTTTTTCAGCACTGAATGAACCAATTTACATATTAATAATAGTGTTCTCCATACAGACAATGTATCAAATGAAAAGCTTAACTGAAAACATTTAGAGGGACCTCCCTTTTAATGATAAACTAAATTCATGAGGGTTTTTCCCAGCTGTAGGCAATGAAACATTTATGACATCATACTGATGAAAAAAGAAATGTTAATTGAGGATAAGAGCTAGATCAATAATGCAAACGACACTGTCTGCAGTCCACGTGCGTAATTGGTTTCTTCATCGTGTGTCTGTGGTCTTCCTCAGGTACATCAGTACTACAGCTCCCTGCCTGAGGATAAGGTGCCCTATGTGAACAGCCCAGGAGAGAAATACCGCATCAAACAGCTGCTCCATCAGCTCCCGCCCCACGACAATGAGGTGAGAGTCCAAACTGACGCCCTCCCCCACGTTCATCCATTTATCTTCACTCTCCCTCATCTCCCCACCTTCAGGGCATTACAGAGATAAGAGGAGAGCAAAGGGGAGACAGGCACAGGAAAAATGGAGTCTGTCCTCCTAATGGGTGTGAATGAGATAGCAGGTGATTGCAGCTGCTTATTAAGATTTGTTACCTTAATAAATCTTGAACACAGTTTGTCTACTGGTTTAGCTATTAAGGCATGGAGCATTCTTTTAGAGGACTGGTAGGTGCCTTTTTATTTTCATAAGTATGCACTCCACAGCAGATGGTGATGAATGGAAGAAGCCTGAGGAAGGCACCACTATTGAAAGGGTATAAAAGAGTCATGTTTGGATTAGGCACAATGCTTTTCTGATGTTCCATAAGAAATCTAGCTGTGTAAACATGTGATCAGATGAAAACCATAGAAAACAGTGAAGAATGTACAGTTAAACATGGAAGTTCCATCATGATTATGGGTTGCTTTGGTATTTGTATTACACCAGGCTTTGAATATACAAGTGCTTCATTTAGAATGTAAACAATCCTTCTTTTCATAGCTTAATGATATATAATTAGTGTCCTTTTCCTCATTAACCAAGATGAATGCTTTGTCCCCAGACTGCATCCACCTGGAAATCTGACACAGACACGCTAGTTAATGGTTAAAATAACCGTTTGAAACAGTTCATGTGTTTCTCTGATCTAAAATAAACCAGCTCGGCGCTTTACGTGTTTTGAATGCTTCTTTTTTAATTCCTTTATTTTCTTCCCGTTGCATATTAACATTTGCCAAATTGTGTTCCATTTAGTTCTAAAGTTTCCCTTTTTTGGGAGAAATTTCTATGTAAATCTCGCTGAGTTTTGAGTTTAAAACTTTATTTCTGAAGGCATTTTGAAGACCTTTGAATGATGTATGTTCTAACACTGGTGTAGTTCTGGCATGGACTGTAATATTACAGTCAAACAGACGTTTTACTGCTTTGAATGATAGAAAAGATTCTTCATAATCACGTGATGTTTGTGTCTCTAGGTACGCTATTGTAACGGTCTGGATGAAGAAGAGAAGCGAGAACTGAAGCTCTTCAGTAACCAAAGGAAACGGGAAAACCTAGGCCGTGGCAACATTCGTCCCTTCCCTGTGACGATAACGGGGGCCATCTGCCAGCAGGTAGATGATGGAAACATCCCTTAATGCTGACACATAGTTCCACTTCTAAATGTCACTTCGACAGCGTCAGTGACAGGGGACATGGTCAGTGGTGTGTCTGATGTGGCTGTCAGGATGACAGCGATGAATCGTGTGACAGACATGCCGAGCGACCTTCTGCCATTTAAAGTGTGAGGATGTATGAGAGCCGGCTCATGTCGACACACGAAGGGCAGAGATGTGGATCATTTATCTGCATTTTGCTCCAATGCCTCTGACCTTTTCTGTCTCACCGTAAAAGTCTTAAGAGGTTCTTGCAGCAATGAGTCAACACGCAGTCTTGTTTTCCTCCTGACACACTCCAGCAATCCCACAAATGGTTTGAATTTAACGTAAGCATGACACAACAGCTCAGGGGAGCAGATCAGAGTTAAAATAGCTCTATTATTTTCCAGTATTATTCTATGTCCTATGAAATAGTTAATATATATTGCTCACATGTACTCTTTTTGTTGCCTGATGGGGATGCCGAGTGCAATGGAGGGTCCATTTCACAATAAACCTGCACATTCAGCATCTCCCAGCCAGGTGTATATCTGCTTTACAGCGTGTGTTTCATGAGCAATAACACCAATGCAACAACACACCTGCAGTGTACCAGGGAGCAGAGATTGAATAAAAGTGTGTATTGATTGAATTCCCCCACTCCTCCCTTGGCCTCCATAGAGCATTAGGAGCAGTGCCAGTGAGAGAACCTGATGGTACCTCTAACTCTATCTCCACCTCCCCACCCCTTTAAATCTTTGCTGCCAGAATAGGGTCTCATTCGTCTTCCAGCTTCTCAGCTTTTACACCACAACGCTACTCTCACTCGTTTTATTTGCACATATATCACTCAATTGTATTCTTCCCTTTTTACCCCAAGGTGTCATCCAATAGCACTTCAGCCTTCTCTGTCTCAGTCAAAAATCACCCCTCCAGCCATATGCTCTCAGGCTAGTTCATAGTCGATTCATAATTGTTTTACAGACAGAGGGTTTAGAGTAGGAATAAAATATTTTTCCATGGCATTTTGAGGTTCAGAGGACACAGGGGCCTATATGATTAAAAAATATGAACGACAGAAACCCAAAGCAAAATCCTCTGACCTGTATCAAGCTATCCAGGACCAAAGTGACACCTCATCCCCTAACGTACGTCATTCCTATACGGCAGTGGTAGTATCATTCTGTGGAGGAGCTTTTTACGGTCAGCGGTTACAAAAAATTAGTTAGGACAGTTTTTTAGAGTGCTCAGAATTAAAAGCTGTTTAAAAAGGGCTAGGGTTAGAACTGTCAATTTGTCTTCTGCTTCATCATATTCTATTCTCATTTTAGTATGTTTGTTTTATATGTGTTTTTCCATTTCTTGTTTAAGTGAAGACTTGAAAAAAAGAATACACTTCTTTTTACAGTGCATGCTCTATGCATAAAACTCTGAAACCATCTGAAATATAGTTTGGTTATTGAACTGTGGAACTTCTCAATGTTATCTAAAGAGGATTGTTGTGTGTATAACTCCAAGTTCAGTGATTTTAAGTGCAGTAGTAGGGAGGAAAAGATGCCATAGATCTTTTCTTTTCTTTTTTTTTTTTAGTGCGGAGGCCAGATTAATGGGGGTGACATCGCCGTGTTTGCATCCCGGGCGGGTCATGGCGTGTGTTGGCACCCTGCCTGCTTCGTGTGCAGTATGTGCAAAGAGCTCCTGGTGGACCTCATCTATTTCCACCAGGACGGGAAAATCTACTGTGGCCGGCACCACGCAGAGAGGCTGAAGCCTCGCTGCACTGCCTGCGATGAGGTAGATACTCATACCGCACACAACATACCAGCCCACAGATGACCATGTATTTATAGATGCACATGTAACGGTCAGTAGAGCTATTTATAATGCATTCACACACACACACACACACACACACACTGCATGCCCTTACACATGCCTACATACGCACCAAACAGCTGTCACATGATGCTTACAGGCTTTCTAACTTAATGGGGTTGCCTGTCAGTAGTCTGGTCTCTCAACTATTAACACCGACACTAACACTCTTACTGTGCGAATGGGAATGAAGACACTGTTGGTACTTAGGAGGCACCCCAATGGTGCAAAAGCGGTGCAATTAACAGCAAATGCACCACCTAGATTTAACCAAGTCCCCACTCACATTAGCCTCCTACACAATTCCGAGACAAAGAGACTGCCGAGAGGTGGTGCAGTCGGAGGAGGAGGGAGGCTTTGTGTTGTCATTCAGCACTAAGTAATAACCCAACTGCAGGGCTGTTACAAACCATAGCCTTTTTCTTATCTCTGCTTTCATAGATCATCTTTGCGGATGAGTGCACTGAGGCAGAGGGCCGGCACTGGCACATGAAGCACTTCTGCTGTTTCGAGTGCGAGACAGTGCTGGGGGGCCAGCGGTACATCATGAAAGAGGGGCGGCCATACTGTTGCTCCTGCTTCGAGTCCCTCTACGCGGAGTACTGCGACTCCTGCGGGGAGCATATCGGTATGCTGATTCTTGTCATTTTTTCAGTAGCGTGATGGTACACGAATGAAAAGTTAACGGATACAAAGACCAGTCATTTATCATTTATGTTTTAGAATATTATGTTTATGTTTTAAAAATATAAACAGCATAAATTGTGGAGCTTGGCATCAATCTAGGGTAATGGCACAATTGTATCAAAGTGACCAAAAGGCTTTTCAATATTTCTTTTCAAGCTTGCAACAAATGTGTCATTTAAGTATCTCACAAACTGTTGTAGTCAAGGCATGCAACATGGGCCATTTTATTCCAGTACAAACATTTCTAAGTGTGCGGTGTGCGAAATTCGCTAACAGGATGCCCAGGTGTGATTTTAGCTCCCATTTCCAAACAAATTTTATGTGTAATTATTAATCAGACTGGAGATAGAAAACAATTTTTTACAGACAAGTGGAAATGGTTGTAAATTGGAAACACCAGAAAACTCTCGAACCAGATGGCAATCATTAGCAAATAGCTGGTTTTCTTTTCCCTTACGACTTGAAACGTTCTCAAAAGCAAGCTCCATAATGAGTGTGCCCCCACAGCACTTACGTCGCCGCCTCTAGCTCCATTTTTCTGTCAGCGAGCTAATTAAAATATACTGCTATTTTTATATAAGACAACATTTTTAAATGAGACAGTAAGTTTTAAGCCAGTTGATGAAGATATTGTGTGCTGTGTTTAAACTGAATATTTGCGCAATGCCACACTCTGTGTTTTTACCATTTTGATCAGCTTTGTGGATTCATGTCTTTCTTGTTTTTTTCCTCCTGTAGGCATTGATCAAGGCCAGATGACGTACGACGGGCAGCACTGGCATGCCACAGAGGGCTGCTTCTGCTGTGCCCGATGCAAACGCTCGCTGCTGGGCCGACCATTCCTGCCCAAGCAGGGTCAGATCTTCTGCTCACGCTCCTGCAGTCTGGGGGAGGAGCCCAACGGCTCTGACTCTTCGGACTCCGCCTTCCAGAGTGCTCGCTCCACCAGAGAGTCCAGACGTAGCTCCAAGACCGCAAAGAGTGGAGGTGGAATAGGTGGGATGCAGACTGAGAGGTATTCGGGGGAGGTGGACCCTCTGTCCGTCCAAATGGATCTTCTGAGTCTTTCCAGCCAAACCCCGAGTTTGACCCGTGAGCCTCCGTCCTGGCAAAGCCAGGAGCAAGCAGGTAGCGGTTACGGCTATGAATCGCAGTCTGACCCAGCTGCCAGTCCCACTCCTCTCCAGCTCCTCAGCCAGTGTAATGTACGGAGCGCCTACAACTCCAGCTCCGGACCGAATAATCAACAGCACGACCACAGAATAAAGGAGAATGGAGCTTTAAAGCGACCCCCAATCTCAGCCATGAAGGGCCACTCTCTGAATGAGACATGGTTCCAACAGGCACCTCCAGAAGACTACTATCCACCCAAACTGAGGACCCAAAAGAGCTTCACTGAGATGTCCCATTGCTCTCAACACCACAATGGGTTCTCCTCGGATAAGCGCTCAATTAGTCTGCACGGCTTTCAGAGAGACAGAGATGCAGGGCCCCCAACAGCAGCCCAAGTGGCAAGAAGCAGGAACCCCATCAATGCACTTAACTTCACTGAACAGCTGACCCCCCTGGAGCAAACTCCTCGAGGATCCATGGAGTCCTTGGCTCTGTCCAATGCCACAGGTGGGTCAGGGAGCCAGAGTGGTTAGACCTTTGAGTTTACTTGTATAGGTTTGTAGTTTATCAGTGCAATGTTAGTGTATAGCTGTAATTAAACTGTACCTCTGTTTTCTTGCAGGTAATTCGGCAGATGGTGGAGGGAAGCATCAGGACCACCTCTCTCGTTTCTCCATGCCAGATCTGAGCAAAGACTCTGGAATGAACGTGTCGGAGAAAAGTAACATGGACACGCTCAATTCGTCTGTGCAGTTCCGCAGTTCCGAGTCTATTCACAGTCTCACCGCTGGCCAGTCCTACATGGAAATCAACCCTCCCAGGTCCTCTCAGTACCAGGTGCAGTATTGTGACCCTCCTGGCATGGGTGTGGGTATGGCCATGGGCCATTTACCACCTGGCTTCACCTACCAGGAGGAGGACAGGATTAGTCTGGTGAGCAGTGCCAACGCTGCGCGCCTGCCACCAATTAGCGAGCGCCGGGTGAGTGGCGTTGGAGGAAGGGCTGCGAGTGTCCGAGCAGAGGCTCCGGACGAGACCCCGCAGAGGCGTCGGCACCACCATCACCGCGCCCGGAGGTCCCGTCGTTCCCGGTCAGAAAACGCTCTGAATTTGGTGTCAGAGCGGAGGGTGAGGCCTCAGGAGAGGCCGCAGCTGCGCGTCCGCGAGGATTACGACCGTTTCCCTCCACCAAGGAGCGCTAGGGACCAGTTCGGAGTCGGGGGAGGGAGATACCAACCCCAGCTCTTCAGACAGTGCCCCAGGACCACATCAGACCTGACTCTGCAGAACCCGGGGGCTGGGAGGCGCACCGGCTTGAGCCAGTACTCCTGGGATGACTATGAGGAGGACGACTGGTGCTCCACCTGCTCCTCTTCCTCAGAATCGGAGGACGAGGGTTACTTCCTGGGCGAGCCCATCCCCAGGCCCATCCAGCTCCGCTTTCTCAGCAACCAAGAGCTGGCACATAAGTACAACAACACCGGAATGGGAGGACCCAACCGCAGCGGACAGTTACACACCCGCAAACGCAGGAAAAGCAAGAACTGCATTATCTCTTAACAAGTGGACTGTAAACTACTAAAAGCTCTGCTTGTGTAGGCTAACGTTATCCATCTGGAACAAAATAACATATCAGTGTTGAGTGTTGATTATCACGTAGTTGAAAGTCGGTGATGAATTGCAGTTTGTAGACCGTGAAAAAGAAAAACAGTGTTTGCATGTTTGTTCATTTTAATGTTTTATTAGACCCTCTCTAGTGTTACAGCTAATGGTTACATGTGCACTTCTATCGAGTCACAACCTTTGTCAGAAGCTAACGTGCAATTTCTTTGTGTCATTTCTTAATTTCCATGCGGCATCAAGTGTACGGCTAATTCTGTTTGGTACAGTTCTACAGTTCTTTCATACAATGTGATTTAGACATAGGATATGGTGTACTATTGGATTTAGTTTATAATGTGTAAATAGATAAATAAATTAATGATTTCACTTAAGTTAAAGAAGGTTGTGTAAATACAGTTGTAAATGAGCCCTCACATATTTTTATATTTTGTATGAATAGAATCATTTATGTATTAAGATATCTATGATGTAGAAACATAACATAACAACAAAAAAAACTTTATGCATGTGTTATTTGGCTGACCTGGTCCTGCATTTGGAATAAAGGGGTATACCAATGAGTTTTGGGGTGGACAGCTGGTGTTTCTCCGGAGTGTGGCAACACATGAGTGGTAAAGTGTGCAAATCACATTCTGTCTCCATCTGTTTAATGCATAAATGAATGACAATGTGATGTAGAGGTTGATTAGAATCATCCTCCACTGAACTGTCAGATGGTAATGGGTGGAGGTTGCATTCAGAGACGCAAGTCAAGTGTCCTGTTCGCAGAGGCGGATGAGGTTCATTGTTATCGGTCTCTACAAGTTGAAAACATCTTACAAAAGGCTTTAAGAGTTAAGCGATTTAACCCAGGTGAAGCTGTAGCTATTTTTTCAAAGTACTGAGGTCTACACAACTTAGACCTCAATATTTGTGGCTATTCAAGTGAAAACAGTTTTTTATTCAACATTTTCCCCAATGATTAATGTCTAAATAGCAACAGGATCAATGGCTTCTTGCAGAACAGTTTGGGTTTACACTGGCTGTACTTGTTTTGTATAACGTTCTGAGGGTGGACAGATGGATATTGGTTAAAAAAGGTCTGTGCGTTTTCTCCCCCCTCACACTGGCTTCTTAAATCAGGATCTTATTCTCCAACCTGAGAGTGCCCTGACTTCTTACTGCTGAAAGTAAAGGCCCCAAATACTCATAAATACTTCACATACCCTTTCTTAAAGATAGATAAATAAATCTATTTTTAGATGTTTCATCCACAGATAAAGACATGTCACAATCTCTAAACTGAAAAGTGCTATTCTTTTTTTTTTTTTTTTAGCCCATTAAGGACCAAATGTATAAGAGAGATTATTTTCTGTGCTGGATGACATGGAGCATGATGCTGATCTGTGGGTCTCCACATTCTTGGTGGCATGTTGTTATAAGAATGACTTACTTGTTCAGGGGTTAATTATTTACATATCCTGTATAGCAAATGGTTGTGCTAAGTAGTGTCATACTGTAAATTGGATTGCTTGTGACGTCCATGCTGTAAGGTGCTTACTGCTGTTAGCCCCCGTAATCCACAGACAGTGTCACATATTTATTGTATTTGGAAAGGATGTGTGAACACCATGCTGTTGATTAGAGGCACTGAAGCAGTGATGCTACTGACATAATTGGCACGTTAGTGTGTTTATCTTACCTCATATTACCTCAGCTTCCAGGCTGTGTGTGTATGTGTGTGTGTGTGTGTTTCAGTTTTCATATTTATTCTGAGGCACTTGGCTAACCCATAGACAGGGAAAATAATAGACCTAATTCGGTGGACCGTGATACGACAAAACCAGCTGCATAAACATGTGAGCTGCGTTATGTTAGGCTGCCGATGACCTGCTCTGTAAATCTGGGCTCTTCTGTGCTTTTTTTACTGAGTCCTTAAAGCATATCTGCTCACTGCCGGTCACATCATCTAAGAGCTTAAATATGAGTCATCAGCATTGTGGAGATTATGCCTTTAACGCAATTTACATTGCATCATTATTTTCTGAACCCATGGTCTTGTTCCTGTTTTTAGTCTCCCTCCCCAGTGAGTGTATGTGTGGGGTGTCTGCATGCGTTTAATTAAAAGCAAATGGAGGCAGCACGGCGAGGGGTGCCACAGATTGCTGCCATATGCTTCTCGGGCCTGGCCCTATTCGAGGAAGAGTATGGCGGTGAGATAATCCACCAGTTGTGTGGATGCTTGCAGTTGTGACAGACGGGACGGTCGGTAAATTTGAGCCACGAGGGCTGAGGTACCTTCTCTGCACAGTCAGGTGACATTATCAGAATTACTGCCTGGAAGAAGAGGGCTCATTGTCCTCCGGTCACGAGTGACATTATCAGTCTGATCTTGAATGAGTTGGTCTATGTTATAATCCTATTACATGACAAGTTGTTTTGGGCTCTTTTTTAAGGTATAATCTTTTTTCCTTTACTGAATGAAAGCTGTGGCATGGAAGCAAATTTCAGCGCACCAATCGTTTTGGTTAACATTATCTTGCATGTTTTCTTTAAACTTTAAACAACTGTCTATTTTTCCGTTGTTAATTGGAACACAATTAGTTGCATTTTCTTTTGTTACAAAAACAAGTTGTTGGATTCTATCTTGTCAAGGTAGGTGGCTGTGCAGTATAAAACAGCAAATTCTGAAAATTAAATGAAGTCAACTTTACTATAAAATTAATTGGATTCATGCATGATATCTATGTGGTATTTCCACATTGTGTTTAAAAGCCTGTTATCAGGTATTGTTTCTGTCAATTGGATTAAACAACTCTTAGGAAATGAACTGTTTTCATTAGCAACAACATATAAACGTACACATGTATGCGTGTGTGTGTCCGAAGGCCCAAATCCCAGCTGTCATTAGTTGAATCTTTTGGAGTTTCTTTAGGAGACTCTAAAAGCCATAATTGCCGGTCCCTGCAAACAGAAAGGCTGCAATTTAGAGCTGCGCTCCAAGCAAACTAAAATAGCCCGATTCAATTATTTTCAAATGGAGAATGTCAATGGTGAATTATCTCACATTCACATGTAACCAGCTTACTCCTAATAGGCACGCAAGTGGGTGTAAACTGTTTTCCTTCTCGCACGCACTCGATGAACAGAACACATGTGACGAGACTGAGTGAGGCCTCAGAGCAGTGTCTCCTCCTTCAGCCGCATCATGTGTGTTCAATTACTTTAGCAAGAATGCACAAACAGGACTTTTCCAGCACAGCTGTATGGATTTGCCACTTTCAGCAGAAGCCCTTATCAGTGCTCCGGAGGGCTTTTCTTCCTCTCTTCCCCGGGGTGTGAGTCCCCGTTTTCTGACACCGTCTCTGAACTTGTCAGGTATAATCACTCGCTAAACCTCATAATCCACATAAAAAGGTCACAAGGCCAGCGTGGGATTTCCCTCACCCATTGCCTTCCAACAGAAATCCCTCTGTTTCACCCTAGTTTCACCCCAACATTCAGTCCCACTGTCCTAAATAACACACTCACCGAGGTAGTAGTGGCTAATATCCTGTGACAGCAGCCCCGTTGGTCCATCTGTCTGTTAACTTCCCTTTGCTTTAAAGTATTTTTGGTCTAAAAGAAGCTCATTTGTTAACCGACTCATCTATAAAATCCATATTCATCCCCTTCAGTGTGAACTTCACCCCTCCGTTGCATGATTGGTGACTAAAACCCATTTGATTTCACTTCTCAGATTAATCTACTTTGTCAGTAGAAGTTTGTATATTTTTTTTACAGTAAGCAGCAGACATTAAACTTACAACACAATAAATTAAAGCTCATAAAAAGTCCCCAAGTTGGCAAATCTGTTGGCCTGATTGTCCCCCCCCCCATCACAGTGACACTCCATTTTAATTCATTTGAGGTGTTTGCTCAGTCTGACACGTGCCACAGTGAGATGCTGCCAGGTCTGCTTTTAATCCCCACGTCCCACAGCTCAGGGGGCACCTCGCCATAATGGAGAAAGGCATGCTGGGTACTTCTTTGCTACACCGTCGGAGGACTCCGTCTGGTTTAAGATATAAGCCCCCACTACTCCTCCTAACCCCGGTGACTCATTAACGAGCCGAGATCTCCGAAGGGGTCCCATCTGTGTGCCACCTGTGTGAAATCACCACTGCCAGCGACATTTAATGTAGGACATCCTTCCCATTTGTTTTAGGGATTCCCTTCAGCACATTAATTAGGCTTAAGTTGTGTCTTTTCACTCATTTTTCTGCTATGCCCCCACCCTTTGTCTGTCTCTTTAGCAGCTAAGCAGGGATGATGGATGGACTGATTAGTCTCCTCCAGCTGTATCTCAGACACAGCGGCTGTGATTTTTGACTTTGCTTCAAACCAATATCCGAGACCTTTTTATCTTAATGTGTTTTAAGAAGCAGCTCATCTTCCTTTGTGTCTCAGAGCATTTGCACTAGAGTAATATTCAAGAGTTGTTTGTTACATTATTATATGATAGTTAATAAGATGTTCACATTTTTTTCTATTGTTGCCTGGATGATTACTTTTATGATAGTTATGTGCCAAATTGTATTTGCACAATGGAAAGGCAAAAACCACATGTTTAGTCATTGCTTAGCCTTTGGTGTGTCAGGCAACATTTTTCAGTGAATGTGTGAAGTAGATTCTTTAAATGTATTTATTTTTTGCATAGAACAGACTGGAAATGTTTACATAGAAAGGAAAGGCATTGTTAATTGTTATTTAATTGGAAATTATATTAAGCTTCATACTGAAATTAGATCCTGCTTTACCAGTACGACAGTCTGACTGCAGCTAATGTTTTATTTTAGCCACAAATTGATAACCTTGTCATAGTCATGACTTTGTAAACCTCAGAATAATCCAACGGCTTTTAAAGTTACATTGTGTGTCGCAGCTTCAACAACTGATACATAAGTATAATAAAGAGCCCATTCAGCTGGGACATGGGTACTATTTGTGTCCTCCTGATTTTCATAAAATCAAAATTTCTCTTTTGTCCCTTTATCCTTCTGTCATCCATCTAACCAACAGTTTATCAAACCCTCTGAAAAATGGATGCTTTGCTGGAAGCAGTTTAAATTTAAGAGTGATCTGCTGCATCGTGGTCTCAGAGCTCTATCTTTCCTGTGATGGAAATGAGTTTAGATTAGTTTATATAGAAAATGAATACACAATTGCTTATCAGCATTCAATGGCCTAGAATGGTTCTTTTTTCCTGGACCAGCCTGAATTAGACCTCTGACTCTGTTCCTTTGTGGCAAAGGCTGTATGAGGTCATTGGGAGTGAGATCTACCGTACTTCCACACAAGCCCAGTACAGCGCGTGCTGTGATAGCTACTCTCTAACTGTAGCATTATAACTTTTCCTGCTACATTTGTGATGGAAGTTTTTTTTTTTTCCAACATCTGTTTTCCAAGACCGAAGACGGTGCAGAGCTGTTGGCCACAACCTAAGAAGGACAGACTACAAACATGCGTAACCCTGCTCTGAATCTTAAAATCCGTCCTCTTCATGGCATTTTTAATGTACTTTTTGAGAGGATAGTGATGCCTCAGTGTCTTTACGAACGTCTTCAGCAATAATTAGCTCTCTGGCTCATTTTTTAAAGTTTCTTCCCAGCACTGGACAGACTCCTGAAAGAGAAGCACATAGCAGACACAGTATGTTCTCTAAAGCCAGACATTTCCATATTTTCTGTAGACTTTATGTGGGCCTGTGTGTAGGGCAGGTAGCCTGTTGAGGATGTGAGAGGTGAAATGGGGTCCAACCCCCATGTGAGCCTGACCTGGAATAACTGGATGGATGTATGGGTATGAGTTAACCAAAATGGCCTCTCGGGTCTAATTTCTATTTCCCTTTCTTGTAAACTCTTAAATATTTATCAACCCCAATGAAGGCACAACCATTCCTATGACTAGCATTGCTAGAATGAACGGTTTTCCTAAATGTATAGGCTGCTCCGGAGGTCGTGTTCAGGCTAACACTTAATGAAATTGTCCTTCTCACTGACGCACTGGCTGGTGTCAGAGTGACCCGCTAATTCCTCCGGCATCTGCTCCTCATTGTCCTCCACTTTGTCAAAGCAGATAATCTTCAGACACAATGGCCAATTCAATCAGGGTTTTTTTTTTTTCACGTAGCATGGACGCTAACTGACATTGAGTCATTTCATAATCTAATTCACATGCCCACACATTGCAGCTTGTGTTGATCCGTTTAGTGGAGGAATCAGCACAGACACTACGTGTTCAGAAATCTTGGGTCTTCGACAAAGGTGAGTCACTTTAATTAATGACACATCTGAATACATCCACTCATTTCTGATTCGCAGCACTGCCAGTGGGCACAGAATTGCCAGGCAGGGACAAAGGAGGAATGATGGTGATTTCACTGGAGGATTTTGTTTTCAAATCTCAGTCATTGAAACAGCTGTTGTATGGACTGAGCAGTATTCTTTTTTGCAGATAAGATAAGATATCAAATACAAAGATATCACATATGAAACATGAATGCATGGACATTAACTTTTGGAGGTAAATGCTTTTTGAAATGCAACTAGTGAGCTTAAATCAGTCTGGGCCACGAAATGTATGCGAGAAACATAGTTAATTAAAACACTCTTGTTTAGTATTTGGTTATAGTTTCAAAACAAACATTTTTCATGTCCTGCCTTCCGTTTTACTTCACAATAAAAACAGACATAGAGTTGATTAGTCATTTATCTAATAATCATTTAGCCAGGATTTCATGGGGATGATATGTTCCACACCCCAAGCGAGATGTCATGTAATTACTTGCAAAAAAAGATTTTTAGAACTAACTTTTCATTTAGACCTTTTGACATTTCAAAAGGCTATTTTTATCAACCACGTTATTTTGAAATTCCTGTCCATTCATAGAGCTAAGACTCACAATGATAACAGCGAGTGTGGGTCTTTTTGTGAGGTCAGTTTAACTTGCTATGACTGCAGTATTGTGTGCGTGTGTGTGCTGTGCAGGCCTGGTCACTCCCATGCATCTGGACAGAAGGTCAGCAGCGCCATCTGCTGATACAAGACACCAGTGCTCGGTCAGGAAATGGAACCCCCTGAGTGTACAGACTCACACTGATGTTAAGAACAGCAGATAAGTATTTTATTCTTTTAAAAACCCATCTCACAATATTATTAACTGCTTTGCAGTGTAGATTCTGGATAGAGGAGCTGACCAAGTCTGAAAGAATCCCAATGGGATCTCCAATTATTCGTTTAGTTAATCCTCCGCTGGAGTTATTAAGGAGCAGCGGGGCATCAGTACAGCATGATCAGAAAGAACTGCCAATCACACATGGCTCAAATCCCCACGGTGTAAAACTGTGAGCAGCAGCTAATGAAGGTTTGTTCACACTACCAGCTGCTGAGTGGAGATAAGAAAGAAAAGACCTTCAAAGATCAGTTAGCCAGTTATTCCAAAGGACCAAATGGAGGTGAGATAAACTCAAATGCCAGAACTCCACTGTCCCTCAAGAAATTCTATCAGTTTGGGTTGTATTGACAATACACTGAAGATCCTGAAGCAGATAATACGTACTTTATATGTGGCATGCATGAAAAACTACATTCAATTCAAGATCCTATGAAGAATAATGATGATGTTACATCATGTGTCTAAATGACTGGGCCTTGGGCAGCACCTTGCCTGTTGTAGCTGTTGCACATTGTGTTGTGCGAATTTGTAAAAATGTTTTTTATTCTCAATGCAATAATTAGGCAATTGAACTAATGCGTCAGTGTGATGAGAGCTGACTCCAACATGTCTCCAGATAACCTTCCAAAACTACCCAGCTCTCAGATCCTCAGGCCGTGAGGGAGACAACAGAAATGTAAAAACAACAACACTGTGATGTTGTGAGACATTGTGTAACAGTTGAAATTAATTTCACTCCCCTCTGGTTGTCCTACAACAGACTGCAGAGTCCGAAGGGATCAAAGAGAGAAGTGGATGATGTATTACTAAAGAGCGGGAGGAAAATGATACCATGAAAACTGGCTAAAACTAGTCTTTATAGTCCACAGAATACATAACTCACTCTACATGATAATAAAAACTCTGATATTTATTTCACATGTCATTTGTGATTTTATTAGTTTATCTCTGAAGATTCTTCCTGCAAATTTACAGTTGCTTTTTCAGTAATTTAACACTTTCTCTCATTCTTTCCAACAATCCTTCATAGTGTGAAAACAGCCTCACAGTCTGGACTCTGTTTTCTCTTCCCTTATGAAGGACTTCCCACAGACAGTGATGGCTTTAAACTCCTCTGAGATCTCCAGCAGGGTCTTGCCTTTAGTCTCTGGCAAGAGGAAGGAGGTATAAAAGCTACCCAGGAGGCACACGCAGGCAAACAGCGTAAAGCAGTACGAACTGAGTGCATTCTGTGGGAGGAAATGGAGTAAGGCATCAGAGTAATCCACATGTGGGCAGTATCAATTCTTTGGATGTGAAAACCTGTTGCTTGTTCTCAAATTCGTCCCACTCACGATGAGAAATGGAAAGATCAGGCCCATTATTGCAAATAAGACCCAGCGTAGCAGTCCCAGGAGGACGAAGGCTGCCAGTCGATGGGATTGGATGAAGAGCTCACTGTTGAGCGTCGCTGTGGCCGCACCTGCATGAACCCGAAGAGGAGAGAGGGGTTGAATTTACTGTTAGGAAAATATTTTCCCTTCATTTAGTGTTGAGCAGCAAAAAACATACCAGGTCCTCCACAAAAGAAGATGATGAACAAGATTAGTAAAACAGCAGTAGCATATGGAATCCAGTCATTTGAATCCTGCATGAAAAAATAGAAAAAATCATGAGTCATTTTACTACAGACAGTACAAAACAAAAAAAGATTAAAACTTTTATAGGAAAATGTTCAATTTCATTTGGGATTCAGCTCTGAAAACAAAGAAGATTTTAATATGCTCTGTCCTGATCGGCAAACAGACAGGAACAGAGCTTCTCTGTATAAGGACAATGTAATTTTGTTGAGCTGTGTACCTTTAGGTTCAGTGTGATGGTGACCAAAACCCAGCATGCAGACATGAGTCCATACCCCCCCCAGAACAACACCCTCCTTCCTACGCGCTCGATGACAAGACCCTGTTGGAGACGAACGTGCAGAAAAGGTTCCCAGGTATTACCTATTTGTTGAGGAGGTGGCAGAGGGATGACAATCGGAGGGATTCACTCACACAAGAGATGGAGGTGATGATCTCACAAACTCCAAGACCAAGAGTGATGTAGCGAATTTTGTCTTTGGGTATATTAGCCTCCAGGAAAATGTCAAAAGAAAAGGTGCTGATCTGCAGAGATGGGTGACAAATATAGAAATTCCATAATAAAAGATGGAAATCAGTCAATTCTGTTACTTTAACAAGTTCAGTGGCCTAAATAGATCTTAGTTTAGATGAGCTGGACTATAATGTACGATTTTATATGATGCTATACTATACTATACTATACTATACTATACTATACTATACTATACT